AGTGGCTCAACCTTAAGTTTATCAAGCGACGAGAATACTTTTTGTGCACAAAAAACAAACAAAAATAACCAGTTTATTCAACTATTCATTTCCTTCTCTGTGGGCCTTGATATTTCACGTAGTGATATTGCGCAAAGCTTCTAGGTTGTACGTCACGCATCACACACATGACCAGCGTCGCCCAATAGTGAGCCTGTGTGTGACGTGCAACCTAGAAGCTTTGCGCAATATCACTATGTGAAATATCACGGCCGTACAGAGAAGGAAATTAATAGTTGAATAAAGTCGTTATTTTTGTTTGTTTTTTTCGCACAAAAAGTATTCTCGTCGCTTGATAAACTTAAGATTGAGCCACTGTAGTCACTCGGACTATTGGACTGACGATGTCTTTCATAACTTTTGGGCCGGCAAGTTTCGATCCCTTAAGAAGCCTATGGAGGAGTGATCCAGCTCTCAGATTTAATCAAAAATATCTTAATTTGTGTTCCGAAGATGAACGAAAGTCTTACGGGGTTGGAACAACATGAGGGTGAGTAGTTACTGACAGAATTTTCATTTTTGGGTGAACTAACCCTTTAAAGAGATCACATTGGTGTTTTTCTTTGGCGGCGCTCCAGTTACCGGAAAAGTCGATCGACGAGGTTCATCTCAGGTAAACTGTAGGCGTGAGTTTAATTGCTAGTGTTAAATTAGCACAATTATCGCGGACCCAGAATCCCTCTCGGGTGTGTGAGGCTGGAGTTGGTCCCATGCAGCGTTTAGATCTCGCTGGTTGTGAGCTGTGGACATGCTGTGAAGCGTTTGGAGTAAATGTCAGACATGAATAACACATGCACGCAGCTCGACTTACACAAAGATGCCGTGGTGCAAACCGTTCGACTCTCTCCATCCAACAGGAAGAGAGGAAAGAGTGTGAAGAAGACTTCCTGGAGAGATGGCGAGAGAGATAAACGGAGGAGGGGCTGTGAGAGAATGTACCTCTGATATGTGATCCCGTAAAGCAGCTGATAAGAACATGTGCTCATTTAGAGGTAATGATTAGCTCTGGTCATTTAACCCCGGAGACTCGCGCTGGGCGATGACCCTCTCTCACACTATCTCTCAATTCAGTTTCAGTGTAATGTGCTTTATTGGCACGCCAAAATTTGCGTTCGTTTTGCTTGGCTGTATTAGTGCAATAATGGTATATAATTTTGGTGAAAAATCAAATCAAATATTATTTTATATGATACAGTGTACTTTTTTTTTTTCCCCAGCAGGGACGCACGCATTCAGCAAATCAAAAGTGTCAGGAAAAACATTTATAATATTACGTAAGATTTCTATCTCAAATAAATGCTGTTCTTTTGAACTTTCTATTTATCAAACAATCCTGAAAGAAAATGGATCACGGTTTCCACAAAAATATGAACTGTTTTCAACATTGATAATCATCAGAAATGTTTCTCGAGAAGCCAATCGGCATATTAGAATGATTTCTGAAGGATCATGTGGCACTGAAGACTGGATTATTCTTAATTTAAAGAATAATATAAAATAAAATAAAAAATGATGTATAATAATAGCTATTATAATTAAGTAATTAAGAAAAATATTAGTCAGAAAAAGTCCAAATGTGCCAATAATGGTAATAATAAATAATAATTCGTTACATTTATATAGCGCTTTTTCTGGGTACTCAAAGCGCTTTACATTGAAGAGGGAATCTCCTCAACCACCACCAATCGGCAGCTCCACCTGGATGATGCGACGGCAGCCATATTGTGCCAGAACGCCCACCACACACCAGCTTACTGGTGGAGAGGAGACAGTGATGAAGCCAATCAGTATAGACCCCTTTTCAGTTGGTAAACATGGTGATGTTTTTTTTTGTGGGCGGAGCTTAGGTGGAGGCAGAACGATACCTCTGGCCGCTTCCCTAACGCTAGTTAGCAAGTTTTGTTAGCTTGTTTTTTAACAATGACTGGAGAAAATCAGATTTTATCTTAATGTGCAAGGTCACTCACTGTCCAGGACCGCGATTGTTATTTGCAAAAGTTAATTTTAACGGACGGAACCAGATTGGCCGACCCGTAGCCTACACCCTCACTCAATGGATGGACGATCTGACAGGATTAACGTTACATTACCTCGGTTGAGTGGCCTGACTTCTACACCTACCTTATAGAGAAACCGATCGTAAAGAAAAACGTATATAAATCTTTAGATGCCTATAACTACCGTATTTTCCGCACACTTAAAAGGCGCACTTAAAAGCCTTTAATTTTCTCAAAAAATGACAGTGCGCCTTATAATCCGGAGCGCCTTATATATGGATCAATTGGTTAATAATGCTCCGCGTTATTAAATTCGCCCGCGAACTCGCGCTCGTGTCCATCTTATGCCCGCTCTGTCACACGGCCAGTTCAACCTCGTATAAATCAGGTTATGTGTGTAGGTCACGTGCCCGCTCACGAGCGCTCACTCTTATGGTGTGTTCACACCGAACGCGAATTTAATTATTTGGCGTTGCGAATGACGCGAATTGGGTGACGCGTTTGCCGCGAATGTCTTCCGTGCAAGTTGAAATATTTGAACTCGAGCGAATGTTCAAGCGTCTAAGACGCGATAGACGCGTATTTGACGCTCTATTCGCGTTCGGTGTGAACACACCATTACTAACAGACACATGAACAGACACACTGTCCCCGGCGCTGCTCGCGCGGCACAGAATGTTCATAAAGCGCTCCCCGTTCACAGTAACCGGGTCGTCTCACTCAAAACAGCCAGCTGTTGCTGTCAGCGAGCCGCCGCACATGAATACTCGTATGAGTCAGGCTGCGAATGTAAGTTACGTGCCCGCCCCAGCGCGCTCACGCTTACTAATAAACGCCTCGCCTCCGGCGCCGCGCACTCGCTACATTCCCTTTAGCACATCTAGTGGATGCATAACGCAAACCCAGTCAAACGTTTGACTGCAGTATCTTATGCGCCTTATAATCCGGTGTGCCCTATATATGAAAAATGTCCTAAAATAGGTCATTCATTGAAGGTGCGCCTTATAGTGCGGAAAATACGGTATGTGCCGAATGGTCATGTACAAGACTTGTGTGGTACGATCCGCAGTTCTGCCTAGCCAGCGCCAAGAAGACGACAATGTAAAGAGTGACATTACGGTGCGATTTTAATGAAGTGAATATTTTCTAGAAATAAAAATTCCAGATACAGCATATCCATTTTTCATCGATTCTTGCACCAAACAACACAACAAGATGACATTTAATAATAATAACAATAATTTAAGCTCCTTATTCTGTAGCCGAATCTGTGCTGGTTTGTATTGGCCGCCTCCAGTTTTCACTTTGTTTTGCCTCCAGCTAGCGCCGTGACGTAACTGTGACGTCGGCGCAAAAGGGGTCTATATGGGGATGATTAGGAGGCCATGATGGACAGAGGCCAAGGGGCAAATTTAGCCAGGATGCCAGGGTTAAACCCTTACTCTTTTCCTAAGGACATCCTGGGATTTTTAATGACCACAGAGAGTCAGGACCTCGGTTTAACGTCTCATCCGAAGGACGGTGCTCTTTGACAGTATAGTGTCCCCGTCACTATACTGGGGCGTTAGGACCCACACAGACCACAGGGTGAGCGCCCCCTGCTGGCCTCACTAACACCTCTTCCAGCAGCAACCTGGTTTTCCCAGGAGGTCTCCCATCCAGGTACTAACCAGGCTCAGCCCTGCTTAGCTTCAGTGGGTGACCAGTCTTGGGCTACAGGGTGATATAATGTACATAAACTGCTGGCATTCCATCACTATTTCCCCCATACAGTTATTCAGCAGCTGCAGTGATTCATTCATATTTCCAATATCACATTTGATCGGCTTATCTGAATGAATCAACCAGTAAGAGAGAAAAACCCTCAAAAACATTCAGTCACCATGACATCATGTCCATACTGGTGTTTCTGTAACTATTTTAAACACACCATAACTTTGTTATCATTATGGTGAACTACAACTCTATAACTAGAACTTAGAAGAACACCATAAACATTGTCCTGAACTAAAACATGTTTTCAAGAGAGAATCGCCTTTGATTATGCGCTTTAACCTTGAACTCAACTTAATATGTCTGTTAAATGGCTTTTAAACCCTAACTGAGTCATTTACTGTAGTCTTCAAGTGTTGCCTAAGACCCCGATCATGTCATGTTTCTCCTCTAGATGTCAGAAGAGATCTCAAGAATGTCTCAAACTGTGCAAAAGATACCAAAGTTTGCAATGAAAAGCAATAAAAGAGCAACATATGGGCACTGAAATTTGGGTACGACTTGATCCGTTCTAAAGCAAAAGTGAAGTTGAGTGTTTCGTGCAACATGCAGCCCTGAGCTGATTTATAGGACTGCTGTAAAACAAACAGCGATATGATATTGAAGTCATTGACAGAGGGGAGGAAGGGTTTACATGTGTTACATGGCTTGACCTTTGACCTCGCATAAAAGAGGCAGGCGAAACACGATTCCAGCCTGTCAGAACATTTCCTGTCCGTAAGTCCATCAGTTCGAGCATTACAGCTGGAGTTTTTAACACAATGGAGATGTTTAATGCAGATTTGTAGACAGAAAGTTTCATTTGAATTCACTGGTTTGAAAGGTAAGAGTGAGAATTTGTATTCCTGTATCTCATATGATTTTGACTCATAAACAAGCATTGTATCGCTAACTGTAATGATGCGTTTCATGGAATCGATTATAATGCAAATGCTGGTGTTTCATCAGTTTTTCTGTCCGTGTACATGAAACGTCTCGCTTAAGTGACCTTGACGCTCCTTACACCAAAATGTGGCACTACTCAGGTTAGAGTGTGTTTGTCTGCACATACAACTTATACTAGTATTTATATTCGTTGCATGAATGTCTGTCAAAAAATTACTTTGCATATGAGGAACTCAAGATAGCGTCTTTTTCCTCTGGGAAGTCTGTGAGTATAGTGTGTCTTATTTGCATCTCTATTTCTTTCAGAACAACGAAAGAAGTACTCAAACTCGAATGTCATCATGCAAGAGACATCGCAGTACCATGTGCAGGTGAGCGAGATGCTAAACTCTTTTAATTCTGCTTCTTCTCTCCAAGCTTGTTGATTAGCTAAACCTCACCACCGAGAGTTTGGTTTAATATTTAACATGATTCAACTGATGACTTGATATCGTAATAAAGCAATCAGGTCACCTGATCAGATTTGTAAGGGCAGCGTTTAGCTCCATCTGAGCTGTTATAATCCGAGATAACGCAATCTGAAATCTGCATTATACAATGGCTAGTTCTGATCCTGGAATTTGATTGGATGAAATGCACTGATGTCTTGTATGCACCTGCAACCTGAAAGAACCTCAGCAGAACAAGTGCTTAATTTCCGCAAACGCTAATAAAAGGGCACCTTGATCCAGGTCTGACTCGAGACCTTCTGTTGAACTTTGTTCTGATCTAGATGCATTGTTTTCCTTGGTCTATTTTTCCTCACTTTCACCCTTTACTCATTGGCCATATTGTCTCTCTTATCTCTTTTTCTTGCTCTCATATATGCATATTGTTGATAAAACGTCCACGCCAGCAGCAGTCATATCAGGTCTTGAATGCTTAAACACTCCTGTTATATCATGATCTGAGTTTAGGCACTTAAGGTTTTTTTCTTTTCTTTTCTTTTTTACCAGATTCACAGTATTTCTTTCTACAAAACTCACCGCCAAGATGCTGATGTGTTGTTTTTAGGTTGCTAGGGTGTTTGGGTGGTTTTAGGTTATTGATAGCTGGTTGGTAGGGTGTTTGAGTGGTTTGAGGTCATTGCTAGGGTGTTTGAGTGGTTTTAGGCCACTGCTAGGGGGTTGCTAGGGTGATTGAGTGGTTTTATGGCAATTATAGGTGGTTGCTAGGGTGTTTGAGTGGTTTGAGTTCATTCATAGCTGGTTGCTAGGGTGTTTGAGTGGCTTTAAGCGACTGCTAGGGGGTTGCTAGTGTGTTTGAGTTGTTTTATGGCAATTATAGGTGGTTGCTAGGGTGTTTGAGTGGTTTGAGTTCATTCATAGCTGGTTGCTAGGGTGTTTGAGTGGCTTTAAGCGACTGCTAGGGGGTTGCTAGTGTGTTTGAGTTGTTTTAGGTCATTGATAGCTGGTTGGTAGGGTGTTGGGTTTAAGGGATTGATAGCTAGTTACTAGGTTTATAAGGTGTTTGTAGGCCACTGCTGGGGTTTGTTAGGGTCCTTGAGTGAATTTAGGGCAATTTTAGGTGGTTGTTAGGGTGCTTGGTGGTTCTATGTTGTTGCTAGGGTGAATGAGTGTATAAGTGTTTTTTTCTTCTTCTTAGAAAACCATCTATGTTCTGGCACTTTAAAAACCCAGAAATCAAATAATTGATCTGAAAGACCTACAATGAAACATTAAAAACACTGACCTACCCTCTAGTAAACAGATCATATTCGTGCAAATATCTCAAAGCAAGCAAATGTACGTTAAACTTCCCTTTGTGTAGTTTGTTAGTTGGACTACATCCTGTTAAAGTCAGATGTGACAATAAACATGTTTGTGGTTGGATGGTCTGGTTAATCCACGGCAGCCATGCTGAGATCTTCCCTTATATAACTGGTGACAAGACTTAATCTGCTTATGAATTATGCATGATGCTTTGAATAATTTGTTCTCTTTGATGGGTAGGGATCACTGTTTGTCACATAGTATTGTGACATGTAAATGACATGTATTGTGACACACACACACACATAGGTGTGGTTAAAGTGCTGAAGTGGATATATAAATATTATAAGGTGTGTGCTAACATTACTCACTCTATTAAAATAACAATTAATTCCTTTAAGATGCCGACACAGAGCAACGCCCAATGACAATATGTAGGTATGTTTTAGACAAACAGGACATTCACCTGGTTTTCTACTACTAAAAATCAATAATAAGATCTCTTTAAATTCCCAGTTTACTATCTCCTAAACTCCAATGGAATTAAATATAGAGCAGCTTAAATTTGTTTAGTTTTTGTAGTTTGCACAGGGAAAAAACGCAAGAAGTACCGTTTAAAATCTTTAAAATGTATGCTTTAAAATCTAAATGGTCAGATAAAATGCCAAATATTTTTTTTGCATTACAATTGCAATCCAAATGAGTGCATCCAATTGCACTCATTTTTGCTCTCTCCTTCCTCTTATAGTCAGTTATGTGACATTTACTGTATAGAGAATATTGGATAAATTAACATTTTGCAAATTTTTTACAACATTTGCATGATTGTTTTAAAAAAAAAAGGTTGCTTATGTATCCCCCAGGTGGCTCGCCAAAATTTCCTTTTGTCTCTCAATTGTTGTATGAGAAACTCTTGACATTGTGGTGACATCATTACTATAGCACTATTAGTAGACTGTCAGAGTAAACAGATCTTATTAATTGCACATGCAAAATAACAGTCCATTATACAGATCAGATGTAATGAACCAAATCGCATTGCATCATTCTAGCAATGACCTTTCACACTTGTCTATGCGTATGTTTGCAGCATCTCTCTACGTTCATCATGGATAAAACAGAGTCCATCACTACGGTAGATGATGCTATTAAGAAGCTGAAACTGCTGGACTCCAAAGACAAAATCTGGACTCAGGAAATGCTGCTACAGGTGACGGACAAATCCATCAAACTCCTGGACTGCGAGACCAAGGTGAGCGTGATCCTTCCCAAGGGTAGAAATTAGCACAATAACTTTTGTAAAGTAAATATAAAATTTAACTGAACTTAATCCATGTTCCTGGTCTTATTGTTAAAGTTTCATCTGTGTGTGCTATTCCAAAGAAAATATTTTTGTCTTTGTAATCTTTTGTAATGCATTGTCCTTTTCCGCTGACGTAATTTATTAGACAATTATTGACTATACATGACAATATAGCAGACTATTGGGTAATGTTACCAATGTTAACAAGCAGCCTTTTCACATTCCAGTCAATTCTGGTCCATTTTGTTCAGCCAACATCGTGAATGATTCTGGGCTTGCAAGTTTATGCCAATTTAAAACCATTTGCACCTTGATGGTCAATAACAAGTTAAACACACACTTGAGATCATGGAAATAAGAACCGATTAAAGCATGTTCCACACCTGTTGACCAAGTGTAATCCGATCTGATCTGGAATAACTGGATAGGGAGCGTTTCATCCGTGTGAATCATGTGAAATGATTCTTAGTGTGATGTCATTATTCTTGTAATATGTGACTGTTTCGATATGTGCCAACATTCCCAGACCTTTGACCTCATTAATGATTATAATCATTGTTTTTTGTGTCAAAGGTCGTCAGTGTTATTTTATTTTAATTTAAGTTTATTTAATTGTTGGAAGTTGCAATAAATTAAAATTAAATTAAATTAAATTTGTGAGAAACATGAACATTTCCACAGTAAATTTATTTGTTTTTTAAAAATATTTAAGAATCAGGTTTAGGTACTTAATGTGTTTATGTACAGGGCCTGAAATTAACACCCGACCACCTGCCAAATGCGGGTGAATTTTGCTATTGGCGGGTAACACTGTCAATCTACCTGCCACATTGGCAGGTAGCCAATGAGAATTGAGTGATTCATTAGGTTTTTTTTTTTACGTTTTCATTTTCATTGCGTTGGACCTTAGCTATAATGTGGCGGCACATTACTGGGGTAAAAAGGCCAGCTGAAACAAACAACCAACAAAAAGATGAGGATGAGTCAAAGAAAAGTAAAAGAAGACATTTTAATACAAAGTGGTCAATTGGCGACAACGGCAAGGTTCGTGAGCGGCTGATTTATGACAGCGACTGTTGTTTCATAACGTTCATGCGATCAGAAAGAAGATGAGGCCCTTTTCTGACTACGTTTGGATGTGCGAGTATTAAACTGTTGGTGAGATGGAATGAGATAATGTAACGCTGACGTAGGCTCCAGAACAATGACAGTTGCACAGATGTGTGGGTGTGCAACTGTAGTACATGTTGGGAGTTGGGAACCGGTGAGAAAATGTCCGGTACCCGGTAACTTTACCAGTAATAATATTAATTTAGTTCTGCTTAACGGTTCCTGAACGCTGTAACTAAAAGCTGTCAGGACCTAGCTGTCTACGTGACTAAATCATCCATCAACACAGCCGCGGGTGATTTGTTTGCATACGAGCTGCGGTAGGTCTATAGATCTGTTGTGCGTGTGTGTGTCAAAATCAATGAATAAAAAGATTTTTTAAAAATGTATATTCTAAGTTATTATTACTTATATTGATTTCGTTAATAACTTGACAGCAGTTAAATGTGTACAAGTTAAAGAACAATATTGTGAAATTCCCGTTTTTCACCTTTAGGCTATGAGGCAAAAAAAAAAAAAAAAAAAAAAAGGCTGGTAAAAAGTCTCTGTGGCAGGTGAATTTTGATATCCACCTGCCACAGTGGCTGGTGGCCAAAAAAGTTAACTTCAGGCCCTGACTATATTTATCTATTTTTGTACATTTAGCATCTTGGTTTAATTTTACTTTTAATATACAACATAATATATATTTTTTTTTTGCAAGGCATTTAGGGTTAGATCATATTGAAGTTAATTTTAAAGGTCTAATTCTCCTGATCTCTCGTTTCTCTTTCTTTCTCTCAGGAAGAGCTTGAAAACTTTCCTCTGGCCACAGTCCATCACTGTCAGACGCTGTTGAACCAGACGAGATACCCCTCCGTCCTTCTGCTCATCTGTCAGGACAATGAACAACACAAACCAGACATTCACTTCTTCTACTGCGACGAAGTGGAGGTGGGACACAAACACAAACTTGTATATATACTTCCAAAAAAAAAAAAGTGTCATGATACTTTAAAATGCATGATATTTCATGCATGATATATTTTAGGTTTAATCATGTGCTGTTATTATTCTGCAGACATTTCGAGAAATGTTGTATCTCCAAGTAACAGCAAAACATAGACACTCGTGTACATACAGACACAATGATCAGCCGGTGGAAACGTCATCATTTCCCAGAAATACCATTATGAAAAAGCTGCTTATCGAGAAAAAGCACACTATCGAGAGCTGCTTTCACTTAAACCATGCATGTGTGTTTGTGTTTTAGGCCGAGATGGTGCATGCTGACATTGATAGCGCTCTGGGAGACAACTCACGCGGCAAGAAGAATCGACCGCAGACGCTAAAGTGAGACCCAGACCTCTTTGACACTACTGGAGTGGTTTTTAAATAACTTATTACTAGTCAGATTGACTGACACCAAGTTTCACAACACTTCTACCTGCTGAACAGACTGATTTTTCGTCTATTGACGACACTGAGAAGTCCTAAAAACACATAACAGGATCAACAGATAGTAAAGACACATTTACCCTGAGGTTGCTGTGATCTTGTGTGTAATAGTTGTTCATTTATTTAAGGATGCTACAGTATTAGCACTGAGCTTTGGTTACATGCAGAATTGTGTTTTGGAAGCAGTGTGATTTTCTTCCCGAATAACCGGTTGCAGGGTCATCAGAGAAAGAAGACCGTACAGCTACACACACACACACACACACACACACACACACACACACACACACACAGCACCGTTCCAAATCCCAGTGAGCTGCCTTGCTGTCAGCTTAACTGAAATGCAACCTCAGGTGCACAGGAGATGTGACTTGCAATTGATTTCAGTAGTTTGTTAGAGTTAGCATTTTGCTAAGCTAACTAAGCAGTAGGCCTAAGCATAAAAATACACAGCACACACACATATTGAGTAAAATAGTGGGTTTAAACCATTTTGATTATTTCCAGTATTGGATGAAGTCAGTGCTTTAAGTGGCCCAAAAGAGGTGGCGGTACTCTATTATTATTATTATTATTTTTGCTGACCCCCCTCCTCCCCTGAGGTAACAACAACTATATTGAAGGGGTTTTATATAAACAGCAGTCAACAGACGACCTTATAAAAAATAATAAATCCTTTTATTAGTTTGTGGATTTGCTTTAGCTAGAAAGAGCTACTGAACATAAATAAAATGTGCAAAATGGTATTGAAAAAATACCCTTATAAGGAGCTACAGTAGAAAGAGCTACTGATCATAAATAAAATGTACAAAATGTGGATATGAATCCAACTGGAAAAACTTGTGAAAAGATATATTTTGATTAGTCAAATAGCAAATAGCATATAGTGAAGCTCTATAGCCATCTAGTGGTTAAAATGATCTTTATTTTATTTTAAAACTGCATTTTCCAAAAAATGGCCAAAAATGAAAATTATCCATGTTATCTCCATGAATGAAAGTTTGAAATCTGGGTCTTTTATAAAGTGAATTTGACATAAAATGCTGTTTTTTTGTGTGTAAAAAGCCTATTTAAATAAATATTTATTTATTTATAGAAATTTAAAAGATATCATAAATCCTCCAAAAACTGCACAAATGTTGAGTAAAAACATTAATAAACAGAGTAAAATTACATTTGTAAAAAAAAAAAAAAACTTTTATTCTGTTACAAAATTAAATGTTATTGTCTGAGCATCACAGTCCCGCCCACAGCCCGAGAGAGCTTCGGTGCCGGAAGTAAATTTCCCATTCATTTCTCCCATTGACGGTTTGGAAAAACCGTATCTAAAGAGTTTTAGAGCATGTCTGAGGATAACCAGCTACGGCTGAACTCATAAGCATTCAACATATCATTTCGAGTGAAAAAACGAAGAGAAAATCCAAATAAAATCAAAGGTACAAGACTGTGTACATATTTTCATTTCCGAGCGAAGGAACTACTCAACCCATAAACCACCGCGCCTCACTGAAGTTGACTGAAGCCACAACCGCGAAAGAGCCTTTTGAGCGACTTCCAAATCTGACGACGGCCACGCAAACTTTTTCCTCCAGTGAATTTTATATAGTGAATGTGCAGGGAAACTCCTTTTCTGATTTAATGAAGCCTTATATGTAAAACACATTGAGCATCTGGCTCGCTCATAGGCTGTGCTGCGGCAACTGCACATCCAATGGCGCGGACGCCTCTGACGTGCGACCAATGAGCTAGCCCTACGTCATTACACGATCTTCAGTCTTCACGGACCTTCGCGGGGTTTAACCAGACGGCACGCACTGTGATGCTCTATTTGTATTTTAACCGAGCAGCTAACACCAGAGAATGTCCTAACACTGACAGCGGCAAAAGCGACGCATGCGCTTTTCACTTGTAAAACTCAAGGGTGTATGGGTAATGTAGTCTCTGCTCTCGGTGGGACGAATTAGGAGGCGTGCATTGTGAAGGGAGCTCTGAAAAGCGGCAGCGCAGCCAAAGGATTGAACAGATGTGCAAATGAGCGTACCGGTACGCTAAAAGCACGTTCTGGGCGCACGGAGAGGTGGCGGTACGCTCAAGAGCTATATGTGGAAGTGGCGGTACTGAGTACCGGTGCGTACCGGCCCACTTAAAGCACTGGATGAAGTATATTTATAATCAGCATTGCTCGCATTCTCCACCATCTGAGCTCTTCACAATGCATTAAGGGATTGTCTTCACAAAATATACAAAGCTTATAGTTTAGCCAAAATTAGCTATCTTTAAAGGATATGGTGTTTGGGTAGTTTTATGCCATTGCCAGGTGTTTGCTAGGATGTTTTAGGGTGGTTTTAGGACATTTCAAGGTGATTTTTTGGGGTGTTTGAGTGGTTTTAGAGTTTTTCCAGTAGTTTGCATTCTCCACCATATGAGGTCATCACAATGCATTCATGGATTGTATTTGCAAATTATACAAGCTGAGAAGGCAAAGTTGATCATTTTGTCAAAATTAGCTATTGTTAGAAGATTTAAGGTTTAAGGGTGATTTAACAGCACTTCTAGGTAATTGCTGGAGTGTTTGAGTGGTTTTAGGACATTTCTAGGTGGTTGGTTGTCAGTTTTTAGTTAGAGTAAACAAGTTTGATACTTTTCAGTATTTAATCAATCGTATTAACCCTTTCCCCACCAGCGTTTACAATTTTTTTATTTATTTTTTGCCAGCCACCGCCAGCATTTTTGATCATTTGTCTTTACAAAATTTTGATGGGCCCCAAAATATTTTGTTGCGTGAATAATTGAATATGCAATATATCAACAGAAAGAAAAGAGCCTCTTGCTTAAAAAAAAAAAGTTTTATTCTAGCTTCATGCATTCTTTTTTTATCAACACTTGAATGTGGGTAAGTTTCTTTATGAAAAGTGACATTTTGAGCAAAAAGCAGAGCAAATTCAACGTTATAATCAAAGACTACATCCAGATTGGATTCAGAACGATGATCAAAACACAGATGGATTAGATTGAGTTCATCAACACCCCCATAGCTTCAGTCCTATAGCAGTCCTTCAGATCCTGGGTCGACATTTCATTCAGTAACATTGAATGTATAACATTGAAAACACGGCAAGCTGGAAATTTCCATCAATGGCGGTGTCTCATAAATTATGGAAGATTCTGTCAATGGCAGGGAAAGAGTTAATAATCATAATTTCCCACATTGTACACCATCTGAGCTCATCACAATCCCCAATGGATTGTTTTAGCAAATTATACATGCTGGGAAGACAAAATTTATAATTTGGCCAAATTGAGCTATCTTTAAAGCTTGCTGGCAACCGTTTGGAACAACCCTCACATCAGGACTTCCTAAAATGTTGCCTATGTAGGCTTCTCAGCGGGTTTGTGAACACATTTCTCTCTTTCTCTCCCTTCTATCAGGTTGAACCAAGAAAAGATGAAACGCCAACGGGAGACCATCATCCCGCCCTCTGAGACTAGAAGTCCTGGCCCTGGGGTCAAAGGTCGAGTAGCAGCTACGGACATGAAAGGTGCCACAGACACAATACGCTTGTATGCTTGCAGTTACAGTCAATGCATTAATGCTTAACACTCTGTGTGTTTGTCTCAGATGAACTGTCGATGCAGGATCCCGAGTCCAATATGAAACTGGCCCAGCGGATCGAGAAGGACGTGGTGAGTGCCGGTGTCACTGCGTAACACTTGATATCTGCACACACACACACATCTAAAACACACTCAACCATTGAGTGTATCAGATTAGTGGTTACATCAGACCAGACGTAACGCTGTAATTCAGGCTGTGTATTTTCACTCTGTGTGTGTCATTCAGCAAATCCTGAATTGCGCTCTAGATGACATCGAGATCTTCGTGGCGCGTCTTCATAAAGCGGCAGAGGCTTTCTCACAACTCAACCAGCGCAACAGGAGCAAGAAAAGCAAAAAGAGAGGACCGGCAGGTATATATGCTACACATATCGTATATTTACTCGTGCTTAACGCATCTGGTAAATGACTTTTATTTGTTTATTCCTAAAATAAAGTTAGATCATTTATGCTTAGGAAAACAAATGTGTAAATACATTCATGTGCTTTGGTAAGCATTATTCTCATGTTGCTTGCGTGTGTGTGTGTTTCAGAGGGAATGCTGACTCTACGAGCCAAGCCTCCATCAGAAGGAGAGTTTATCGACTGTCTTCAGAAGCTGAAACTCTCTTTCAATCTGCTGGTGGGTTTCGCCTTTCTCTGTTTCTAAATGAAAAGCATGCTCTTAAAACATATGCACTCTCTTTTAACTCATGCAAAACCCTTGGTTTGGTCTTTTTGTGGTTTAATTTGAAAGTCATCTGGAATATTTGCACTCAAATTGTGTATGTGCTTTAACTTTTTACATCATGCAGAAAGAAACGAGAGCAAATTTCTGTGCAAACCATTTGTAAAAATAAATTGTAAACTGTTTCATTCAGTTCCAGTGACAATTTGTATTAGAAATGTTTCATGAATGAACACACATTTATTCTGCTCAGTGTCATGAAAGAGGCCAATTGTGTGTGTGAACCCTGTTGACGGTCTGTGTGTGCCCTCTACAGGCCAAACTGAAGAAACACATCCAGAACCCCAGCGCTGCAGAACTTGCACACTTCCTGTTTGGACCTTTGGAAATGGTGAGGAACTGAACACATACACAAAATGTTTTCCTAGCTATCGAAATGAAAACATACCAAAAACTTCTGTTGGTTTTATTATAAAAATGCATGCTTATGTTTATACAGAATAAACCAAAACCTTAATGCTAATGCTGCCCCTAAAAAACCCTTTGCATTTAAATTAATGAATGCATACATATATTTATACATAAAATGAAACTTTATCTGAAGACACCCCAGCATTAATGTTTGTGCAGATTTATCTCACTTTATTTTTTTATTTTTTGACTTAAGTATAAGTACTCGTCAGTAAAACTACAACAATAATAAACAACAACAACAATAATAATATGAACAATATGAGCATCCTGCTTGGTACAATAAGAAAATGGAAATATGCATAATAGTTAAAGGCTCATTTAATTTACTATAACTAACTGTAATGTGTTTTTTCTTGTGTGAATTCAGATACTGCAGAATAGTGGCAGTCCTGAGCTGCCGCGTGTGGTCATCTCTCCTCACCTGTCGCGGGACACAGTGGACTTCCTGAGAGGACACCTGACTCCCAAAGAGATGACCATCTTTGAGCTGCTGGGAGACGGTTGGACGAGGCCCAGGTGATGAGTCAACCAACAACTGTAGATGTGTTACAGGAGTGTGTGTCAGTGGTAAACTGATATTTCCAGCTGATACATCAGCCAATGTTTGTTCATTTTGAGATTATCAGTATCAGATGATGGTAGTTCCTCCTCGTGGGAATCCTAAAATCAGCTTTTGAATAGACAAATAAAAAATAGGATTGGTTTTTAAATTTTTTTTAACTAGTGTTCGACCAGAGTTTTTTGCGCTCCTATTATGTTTTTTTCGGATACCACTTTTCATGTAGTGTGTAATACAGTGGTTTGTGAATCTAAAAGGTCTGCAAAGTGCAGATACATGGAGTTATTTTCTCCCAAAAGAAAGAATTGATTCTGAACTGCCCGAATGAGTCGTCCTTAGCTGAAATTCAGATATGGTAATGAGCGTTTGGTTTCTGACATGCACTGTAAGCTGTAGACCAATCACAACAGACTGGGCCATCTGACCAATCAGAGTAGGGTAGACCAATCACAACAGACTGGGCCATCTGACCAATCAGAGTAGAGTAAACCAATCACAACAGACTGGGCCATCTGACCAATCAGAGTAGGGTAGACCAATCACAACAGACTGGCCCATCTGACCAATCAGAGTAGAGTAGACTAGGGTTGTGTGATGTCTACCAATTTGGCATCAGACGATGTGTACAGTGAAACATCGCGATGGACGATGATATCGGGAGGGGCGGGGCTAACATTCAAATTTTTCACTTAAGCAATAAGCCTGGCAAAGCCGTGTTTTACAGTGGATTTAGAACAGCTAAGGGGCGTAGGCACAAAGCGGAGATATTTTCCTCAACATCTCATCAGCAATTTTGATGTCGGCAGCTCTGCAGCAGCTGACCACTAAGGAGCGAATGTACAGTGACGTGACAGAACTGCCAGATTCAAACTGTGTGCTTTCGCGCTGTGGCTGGCGCTGAGCCAAAGACGGACGCGCTCAGCGCTTGTCATATATCAGAACTATTCAGTGTTTTTAACCACATAATGTTTATTTTAGGTTTCAGACATTTAAATACATATAATTTATAGCAAAACAATACATTTATAGTTTGTAAAATACACAATGGTGTCTATGGAAGCAGCAATAACAACCCATTCAAATATATTTGCCGACAGATTTTATTCATATCAGACACACAGTGTAAGTAACTATAAAGTTAACTCTATTCTTCTCCCAGTTCACCGGCCATGTATTTCGGGAGAAACTGATGAATTCACGTGCTGTAATAAACCCAACAGACAGGAATCTCACGTTACAGATCAAAATAATTTATAAAGGTTTTTTAAACGACAAAACAAACTCACTTACACGCATTTGAGAATCGGAATAGAAGATAGTTGATGACATGGTATGTAACCAGATTTGTTAATATTTAGAAATAAAAGTGCTAACGTTACATCTGTCATACAGCGCTATTTTGGCTGTGGTGAATCCCGTGCCAAGCATGACGCGTCACCATGGAAACATGGGGGGGGGGGGGGTCGCGATGCTGGCTTAACATCGTGATGTCTGTCAACCATCACGATGGACGATGATATCGTCTATCGGCACAACCCTAGAGTGGACCAATCACAACAGACTGGCCCATCTGACCAATCAGAGTAGAGTAGACCAATCACAACAGACTGGGCCATCTGACCAATCAGAGTAGAGTAGACCAATCACAACAGACTGGGCCATCTGACCAATCAGAGTAGAGTAGACCAATCACAACAGACTGGCCCATCTGACCAATCAGAGTAGAGTAGACCAATCACAACAGACTGGGCCATCTGACCAATCAGAGTAGAGTAGACCAATCACAACAGACTGGGCCATCTGACCAATCAGAGTAGAGTAGACCAATCACAACAGACTGGGCCATCTGACCGATCAGAGTAGAGTAGACCAATCACAACAGACTGGGCCATCTGACCAATCAGAGTAGAGTAGACCAATCACAACAGACTGGGCCATCTGACCAATCAGAGTAGAGTAGACCAATCACAACAGACTGGGCCATCTGACCAATCAGAGTAGAGTAGACCAATCACAACAGACTGGACTATCTGACCAATCAGAGTAGAGTAGACCAATCACAACAGACTGGCCCATCTGACCAATCAGAGCAGAGTAGACCAATCACAACGGACTGGGCCATCTGACCAATCAGAGTAGAGTAGACCAATCACAACGGACTGGGCCATCTGACCAATCAGAGTAGAGTAGACCAATCACAACAGACTGGGCCATCTGACCAATCAGAGTAGAGTAGACCAATCACAACAGACTGGGCCATCTGACCAATCAGAGTAGAGTAGACCAATCACAACAGACTGGGCCATCTGACCAATCAGAGTAGAGTAGACCAATCACAACAGACTGGGCCATCTGACCAATCAGAGTAGAGTAGACCAATCACAACAGACTGGGCCATCTGACCAATCAGAGTAGAGTAGACCAATCACAACAGACTGGGCCATCTGACCAATCAGAGTAAAGTAGACCAATCACAACAGACTGGGCCATCTGACCAATCAGAGTAGAGTAGACCAATCACAACAGACTGGACCATCTGACCAATCAGAGTAGAGTAGGCTCTTAGAAAGGAGTTTAAAGAGGCTGAATCCTTTATCAAAGCGTTTTAGACACTGTGAGAAAAGCAGTGATGCTACAATGTATATTATGAGAAAAAGTGTTTTTTCTGTTTGTTTGTTTTTTTACCTTGAATGGATGTAAACCTATTGTAGGAGACTCCAAAACAAAATTACGAACCTTTAAAATTGCATAATAGGGGCACTTTATTATATTATTTATAACATATTTTGTTATGTTATTTTATCTGTTAATAATAAATGTAATCAAAATTATAGTATCTAGATTAGCATCAGTCAACCATTAGTCTGTATGTTTATGTTGCCTTATTCTGGGTGTGTCTTTGTGTATCTCAGAGCTGATTGGCCGAAAGATCAGTGCGCTCCTCTGTATGTCCCAAAGTTTCGGAACGGCTGGGAGCCGCCAGTGGATCTGTTTCGCACGTCCCCGTGGGAGACGGAGAGCGCTGGTGTCCCGAAGTCTCCAGTGCAGTCAGAGTACAGGACAAAAGAGGTGAGAGAGAGAGAGAGAGATGAATCGATTTATGATTTATGAAAGCAATGATTTATGAAGCTGTTTAAACAACACACAAGGTGCGTCCCAAATCGCGGACTTGTGCTCTATTCTATGCCATTTTGTAGTATAAATAGTGTGAGTAGTGCGTTCACACTGAAATTTTGAAAAAGAAAAAGTGCACCTTAAGTACCCGGATGATGAACTTATTTTAACGAAAAAACGAAATGTGGAACAGTGGACACTTCAAGTTCAAGTTCATTTTATTTATATAGCACATTTTTACAACAGCCACTGGCTGGCCAAAGTGCTTTACAGAACAGCAGAACAGCAGAAATTAAAACAAAATAGTACCTACATAACAACACAACACAAATGAGAGCGACGTTAAAACAGGATTAGTAAAGCAGTATCTGACTCAAATATAAAATAGTTAAACAGAAGTGAAAAAACCGTATCAGACTCAATCAAATTTAAAATGGAAAGAATCATGAGTGGCAAAAGCAGTATCAGACTCAATGTAAAATAGTAAAACCAACCAACCTTAAATATAGGCCATGGAAAACAAGTGCGTCTTTAGAAGTGACTTAAAAGTGGTCACAGAAGAGGCTATCTTAATTTCTAATGGCAAATTGTTCCACAACCGAGGCCCGACCACCAGTGGCGGTTCTAGAGGGGGGGCCAGGGGGGCCAGTGCCCCTGTGACAAAAAGCTTGGCCCCCCTTGTGGCCCCCCTAAATGTGGAGTTTGAAATAATTTTTACAAAACTGTTTTTTGCTATCGTTGTATGTGTATTATTATTTTATTTTTCTATCTTTGTGGATTTGCATTTTCACGTGACAATTCGCATCACATTCGCGGGAATCGCGGCAGAATGTTTGAAGAGGTGAGTGCGCGCGCGCGGCCGGGGCGCTCTCTCTCTCTCTCTGCTCGTTATGCACTGTCAAGCGCAGCAAGCGGACGCTCTGACGGGTTTTAGAAGATAAAATACAACCCGAAACTAAAAAACAGACCCGGCTTCTATTTGAGACCGGCCTTTATGTACCCAAACCTGTCGCCACACCAGGCGTGTAAAAGAGACAGGCGTCTATTCGGGACTCGGCTATTATTTGAAGTTTCACGGTATGTACGAGGCACTGTGAGCTGACATAGCATTTGTCTATCGTCCTTTCACTGCTGTGTGCAGTTCATAGGTAGGCTATGTCCCCAAATTAGTTTTTGTCTTATATTTATATCATATTATGTTCTTATATTAGAATATCACATCAGCAAGAGTGCCGTTTTCCCGTGCACAATTGCAACTGTGATATTTATGTTATACAACAGTTAAATTAACAATAAGTTAACATTGGGAGTTACTTTTTAGACACAATATTGTCAATATTGTTTGTTTTCCCTTTATTTCGCCGACTAGAATTTCATAAAATGAAACCGTAGTGAGTCTCAATGCAACACAGCGATGATTTCTTGACTGAAATCCGCGTTTTGAACGAATCACTTGCTTCTTTCCCGAATAAATCGGCCGTTTGAACAAATCGTTTGAATGAATGAATCCCTCTTACAGGGACTTGCCGCCGCCTACTGGCGGTTTTAGTTTCATATTTAAAGTATCCTTTAATTAAAACGTTAAACTTAGAAATAATTTCATATTTAAATATTGATTTGAAAAAAATCTCATAGCTTTATTTATGCAATTGTAAATGGAGTGTATATATTAATGCCACTTCTGTGTCACCTCTGCACTGCAAAGATGGATTTTGATTGAATTAATTAATTTGACTGGTAACAGTGGTACTGTATAATTATTGTATAATTAAGTATTATTGTATAAATAAGTATAATTACTGTATAATTTGAATGTTAGTATTTGACATAAAAGGTGATGCATAACTCTAAATAAGTTTAGAAAAAATGTCCATATATAGGTGAAAATGCCCCTGGAAATCAATTTAAGGTGGCAAATATTGCCCCTTAATTAAAAAATGTATTTCTGTCACTGCTGTGAATCGACCACTGCATAGAATATGAAAAATAGGAATATCTTCGTGAGTCAGCTGTCAACAACAGGCCTAAACCAGCCATGGCACCAGCACAAAAACACAATCAGTAAAATATTATCTAATTATTAACAAAATGTTGAAAATGTTGAAATATATTTTTGTCAATATTGCACACCTCTAATGTACGGTATTAATTTTGATTTCTTTAGGTCTTAAAAAGCCTTAAATTGGACTCTAAAAAGTGTGCAGGAACCCTGTAAACGGTTAGACATATCAAGTCAGTTATTTTCAGTAAATGAATTAATAAGCTTCTTGGTCCCCATTGCTTTTGCTCTATAGTTCTCAAAATGAAGAGAAAGAAGGACATCATGTCTATTACAGTTACTGTGACTAATACTGAATATGTAATGCAAATGTAAAAATATAATGGAAATGCAAATACATTGTTGAATGATTATAAACACGGTATTTTCCCTGTTAATGCCTGCAGCAGCGCAGAAAATGATATGACAACAATAAGGTCTAAATGTAACTGGCCCCTCTAACAGTACAACTGGCCCCAGCTTGGCCCCCCCAGTTGAAATGGGCTAGAACCGCCACTGCCGACCACAGAAAAAGCTCGATCCCCTCTGCATTTAAGTCTGGCATGTGGGACTAATAACAGGTTTTTGTTGCTTGATCTTAGACTTCTCGAATGAGTATATGGTTGTAGCAGTTCAGATAGATAGCTGGGGGCTTTGTTATGCAGAGATTTATGAACAAATAAGAGGATTTTAAAATCAATTCTGAAATGAATGGGCAGCCAATGAAGGGACCTCAGAATAGCATATGGGTGCTTTTACAGCTATTAAAAAGAAATCTTGCAGCATTTTGCACTAATTGAAGACGAGCAATTTGAGACTTGTACTGTCGCAGCTTTAATTACGTAGCGGAGGGGGAGGGGCTATCAGACACCGATGTTGAAAGACAAAATAAACGTATAAAGTTCTTACACTACACAGTTGAGTACATGGTAGTGCATAGTGTATAGTGTGTCATTTTTTGGGACACAGCTAAAGTCTTTTCTGTGTGTAAATCTCTTCTGTGTGTTAAATGGATTCCATCTTTTCCCTCTTTTCCATGTCAGTTCTTTGGATCACAGTCGTCGCTCTCTTCAAACGGGTGAGTTAGTTGTCAAGAGGTCTATATCTCAGTCACTTTGAGATTTTGAGTAAATTAGAATTAAATGAAATGTTAATTTTATATGAAGTCTGTCCTTCAAACTAAAATCACAAGCTATTGAGTAACAAGTGACCAAAATAAAACCACACTGACATACATTCAGACAAGAGTCAACTATCTAAAAGGTGTCAAGTTGCCACGTTTTATTGTCATTTTATACAATTTATCAATTGTAATTGGGCCAAAACAATGTAAATATTCCAAATGTCAAAATCCATTAAATGGCATATAATCCATATTGACTATAAATTGTGGAAGATTTCTTTTTTTTTACTTTTCGCTTATTGTGACATCTTGCCCCTTTTAGTGTGACACATGTTTTTGACATTTGATCCATGTGAAGATCTTTTATGATCAGCTTGTTGCCCTCACATTTTTTTCAGGTCTTTCTCGACGTCTCCTCCTTCTCGGAAATATGCAAAGATCCGCTACCACTTTGTGGCACGTAATGCCAACGAGCTGTCAGTGCTCCAGGACGAAATTCTGGAGGTATAAAGATCACAAATGACATCTCATTAACATCTCAAAGATTAAACAGAGCTCTAATGGAGTTTTGCTCAAGTCTCCTGTTCCTTGGGCCCTGTTTATTAACTGGTATTAAGAAGCGTTTTGGTGGATCGGATCACAAGTAGACGACACTAAATACAGGTGTAAACAGGGTCTAAAACGTTTTGAGCTTGTCCACTTTCGACACTTCCAGAGGGAGTTGAAAACACATTAGACTGGATTGCGTTCGTAGTGTAAACGCTCATGTGATCGAATGTGTTCAAACAGCCACAAAAGACCGTCTTCTCTCCGTCTACTGATCTAATGAGTAACATTATGAGAAGAGCTCGAGCCAGACGGGATTTAAACTCTGTCGGCTGGATAACCAAGTTTGGTTTGAAGATGAAAAACATACCAAGCACAATGTTCTCTCTCCATTCCTGATTTCTAACACACACTCACAGCGTTCGGCTGGTCTTGTGTCTGTCAGAGCAGAAACTAAAGCTGATGCTCTCCGTATGTGTTTCTGTCGTCTCTGGTTGTGTTCATTTGTAAATTGCACGTGCTTATTTTGTCCATTAGATTGAAAGATTTGAAAAAGCCCATTAATTTACCCGCCCACAGACCCTCCCCTCGAAGAAATCAGGACAGAAGTGGTTGAAAGTGGACAAAAGACACGGATTAAAACACCAGGTGTAAACGGGAATGTGTCTCCCTCGTCTACTTGTGATCCAATCGACCAAAACACATCTTAATACCAGGTGTAAACAGGGCCTGACGATGTTTCTCCTGAGAAAAAGACTCACACGATTCTCTAGAGCTTCATAAGAGATCTCAAGGTCTAAGATTGTGCTCAGATTTGCCAGCATACAATCAAAAGCCAGAGATTTCAATAAGAACTCCAGCATTTCTCATCAGAAGATCCATTTTATAGCTTTATTCTCTTACCGTGTGACAAAAAAAGTCATGCAACACAATTTCTGTTGATTTGTATTATGAAAGAACTGATGTTTGTTTTAAGGTGTTGGAGGATGACAAGCAGTGGTGGAAGTTGAGGAACAGAAGCGGTCAGGCGGGATACGTGCCCTATAATATCCTGGATGTGGTCAAACTCGAGGACCCTCAAGTCATGAGTGACCCGCCCTACAGTCCAGTAACACCGTACAGTCCGGTAAACAAACCAGCAGAACTTAATCAGATTTAAATTAACGTTAAATGTCCTTTAGCCGGGGACACACTTAAAGGGATAGTTCACCCAAAAACAAAAATTCTGTCATCATTTACTCACCCTCAAGTTGTTCCAAACTTATATGAATTTCTTTCTTCTGTTGAACACAAAAGAAGATATTTTAAAGAATATCAGTAACCAAACAGTTGATTATGGAAGCTTGTTTCCGCCACAGAATGAAAAATAAAAAAGGTAATTGCGACTTTTTATCTCACAATTCTTACTTTTTTTCTCACAATTGCGAGATATAAAGTCAGAATTGCTTGAAATAAAGTCGCAATTGCGTGTTATAAAGTCAGAATTGCTTGATATAAAGTCGCAATTGCAGGTTATAAAGTCAGAATTGATTGATATAAAGTCGCAATTGCAGGTTATAAAGTCAGAATTGTGAGTTATAAAGTTAGAATTGCGTGAAATAAAGTCACAATTGCAGGTTAAAAAAGTCAGAATTGATTGATATAAAGTCGCAATTGCGTGTTATAAAGTCAGAATTGCAAGATATAAAGTCAGAATTGATTGATATAAAGTCGCGATTGCAGGTTATAAAGTCAGAATTGTGAGTTATAAAGTTAGAATTGCGTGAAATAAAGTCGCAATTGCAGGTTATAAAGTCAGAATTGTGAGTTATAAAGTTAGAATTGCGTGAAATAAAGTCGCAATTGCAGGTTATAAAGTCAGAATTGTGAGTTATAAAGTTAGAATTGCGTGAAATAAAGTCGCAATTGCTGGTTATAAAGTCAGAACTGATTGATATAAAGTCGCAATTGCAGGTTATAAAGTCAGAATTGATTGATATAAAGTCGCAATTGCAGGTTATAAAGTCAGAATTGTGAGTTATAAAGTTAGAATTGCGTGAAATAAAGTCGCAATTGCAGGTTATAAAGTCAGAATTGTGAGTTATAAAGTTAGAATTGCGTGAAATAAAGTCGCAATTGCAGGTTATAAAGTCAGAACTGATTGATATAAAGTCGCAATTGCAGGTTATAAAGTCAGAATTGATTGATATAAAGTCGCAATTGCAGGTTATAAAGTCAGAATTGATTGATATAAAGTCGCAATTGCAGGTTATAAAGTCAGAATTGTGAGTTATAAAGTTAGAATTGCGTGAAATAAAGTCGCAATTGCAGGTTATAAAGTCAGAATTGATTGATATAAAATCGCAATTGCGTGTTATAAAGTCAGAATTGCAAGATATAAAGTCAGAATTGATTGATATAAAGTCGCAATTGCAGGTTATAAAGTCAGAATTGATTCATATAATATCGAAATTGCGTGTTGTAAAGTCAGAATTGTGAGATTTAATCTATTCTGAGGGGGAAAAAGTTTGTCTTTTTTCCCCCTTAGAATTGGCCTGATAACTCGCAATTGCGAGTTTATATCTCACAAGTCTGAGAAAAGATGTCAGAATCTCGAGATATAAAGTCGCAATTATGTGTTATAAAGTCAGAATTGCGAGATGTAAACTTGCAATTGTGAGAAAAAGAAAGTCAGAATTGTGAGATAAAAAGTCTGACTTGTCTTTTTTCTCGCAATTGCGACTTTATTTCTCATAATTGCGACTTTATATCTCGCAATTGCGACTTTATTTCTCACAATTCTGACTTAATATCTCGCAATTGTGAGATAAAAAGTCGCAATTATTATTTTATTTTATTTATTCAGTGGCAGAAACAAGCTTCCATAGTTGATGGACCCCATGACTTCCATAATATGGAAATCAATGGGGACCAGAAACCATTTGGTTACCCACATTCTTCAAAAAAAAATTTGTGTTCAACAGAAGAAAGAAATTCATATAAGTTTGGAACAACATGAGCGTGAGTAAATGATGACAGAATTTTATTTTTGGGAGAACTATCCCTTTAATGACTGTAAGGCCGATTATGAATGTAATTTGATACTTACGGCTGATCATGCCGAGTCAGAGACAGTTGCGTTCAGTCGGTGTTCACAAAGTGTTTAATATGCTTCCGTCGTTGAAAAGTCTGTAAGTGTGTTCAGTTCAGTCTTATAATGTTTCAGCTGGTCGTTAAGTGTCTTCCTGACATTAGTAATCATTACTTTGTGTATCTCCTGCTGTCACTCACACAGCCGTACCGAGGACAGTCTCCCTCCGGCTCAATGGGGAACGATAAAGACGGTGAGTCTGAGGGAACACACACATACAAGATAAATATGATCAGAACCTGTTAGTGGTTCTGAATGAGAATACATCTGAAATAAATGTGCATTTATGGTTCTGCCCCAGGTCACACTCATCAGATGGATAAAGTGAACGATGAGCTGCTCATGTTGATCACCGGTAATAAGACGAATCAGCCCGCGAGGAACTTCAAGGTGGTTCGTCAGTCGGCCGTCCCGCTGACCTTCGACTCCAGCCCAGCAGAGGTCTCCACCTGGCTCAACGCCAAGGGCTTCTCCAAACCGTGAGTCAGGCCACAGAAAACAGATCAAGCCTTACAAACTATCAAAAATGTATAAAAAAAAAAAAAAAAAAAATTATTTTTACTGAGAACTCATGAAACCTTCTAAACTATGAAAAAGGCATTTAAAAAAACTAAAATGTATTTTTACTGAGACCTCATGAAGCCTTCTAAACTATGAAATTTTATTTAAAAAATATAAAATAATGTATTTTTACTGAGACCTCATGAAGCCTTCTAAACTATGAAATTTTATTTAAAAAATATAAAATAATGTATTTTTACTGAGAACTCATGAAACCTTCTAAACTATGAAATTTTATTTAAAAAAATTTAAATAATGAATTTTTACTGAGAACTCATTAAGCTTTCTAAACTATAAAAAAATATTAAAATATAATAAAAAATTTTTTTTTACTAATAACTCATGCCTTGTAAACTATGGAAAATGTATTAAAAAAATTCACGAGAACTCACGAAGCCTTATAAAACAAAGAAAAATGTATTAAATAAAAATAAAATAATTAAGCCTTCTAAACGATAAAAAAATAAAATATAATAAAAAATTTTTTTTTTACTAAACTCATGGAGCCTTCTAAACTTTGAAACATTTATTTGAAAAAATGTTTTTCACTGAAAACTCATTAAGCCTTCTAAACTATAGAATTTTTTTTTTTTTTAAATAAAAATGTATTTTTACTGAGAATTCTTTAAAGGGGTCATATAATGGTACATGCACTTTTTCAAGTTGATTGTACTGAAATGTGTGTTGGCAGTGCCTGTACACAACCATTATATAATGATAAAAATCCATCCAGTGTTTTTGTTTTAATCTCCTTATATGTTTTCCCCTGCCTCAAATTGAGCCGTTCGATTTTGTGACGTCACACGCTCGGAAGCCCCTCCCACGAGTGTTGATTGACAGCAGCGTTTCAACACAGACCCGCCCTCGCTCATGAGCCAGCTGTCAATCATAGTCTGCGCGGACCGGCGCGGTCATTGTTGATATGCTGGAGCACTGTCTATGAGCAGAATGGCGTCTAAGCGATTGGTGTTCTGTTCTTGGGTGTAATAACGAACACAGCAGTCATTTTAATGTTCCTAAATCCGAACCGCTGAAGACGCAGTGGCTGAGTTTGTTTTCGAAGGGAATATTCCCCACGAGCAACGTCAATGCTTTCATATTTGCGCGAATCATTTCTCACCAGACTGCTTTACACGATCCTTTAAACGAGGGTCAGTATAAAGCTGGTTTTGCTAAGAAGCTGCTCATGAAAAAAGGATCGGTACCAGATATTCGTGTTCCTGCTGAACCTCCAGAACAACTGAAGTGAGTGTAACGTTTTATTAACCTTTATATTAATATTTATATTAATCTTTGCAAATCGCTAGCTGCACGCTTCACAATGAATGCGGCTAAGGTTTACACTTAGGGTACATTACGACATGTTTTCTATGTATGACGTTCTCAATATAATTCATAATCCCACGTTTATAATGAACAACGCGTTATGGTTATTGTGTTATCGAGTTACAAACGGTGTACACAGAACAGAGGGGTGGAGTGAGCAAAGCTCATTATCATTTAAAGTCATATACACTGAAACGGCGTGCTGAAAACAGAGCTGTTTTTGAACAGGTAAAATAAGTGTTTTCTTACAATACTAATGAGAATTTTTAATTAAAGTATATTACAAACTTTTAATTTAGACCCTAAAGAATGATATTAGCTTGTACAAAAATGGCATTATATGACCCCTTTAAGCCTTGAAAACTATGAAAAATGTATTAAAATAAAAATAAAAATTATTTTCAATTAACTTATTAAACTATATTAAAATAAAATGTATTTTTTACTAATAACTCATTAAGCCTTCTAAACTATGAAAATTGTATTGAAATCAAATCAAATTAATAGTAAACAAAAAAAGTAATACTCAACAAAAAGACCCCATGAAGTGCAACAACAGAGGCTTCTTCCTCTTATTGAAATCAGAAGATGAACCGGGACATATTGAAGGGTTTGTCCCTTTCCCTAATTATAGCCAATGGCCTTTACTATGGAAAAACCTCATGTGACAGCATGAACAGTGGATGCAAGCTTTCCACATGACTTCATCATTCTGTAGAAGGCAGTCTGAGTTCATGAGAAGAACTCAATAAAAGTTGAGGAATAAGACTGTGTGTGTGTGTGTGTCAGGACGGTGGAGCGTTTGGGCATCCTGACAGGAGCTCAGCTCTTCTCTCTGAATAAAGATCACCTGAAGGCCGTGTGTGGAGACGAGGGCTCTCGCGTCTACAGCCAGATCACCGTCCAGAAATCACAACTAGAGGTCAGAAACACTGCAACACAATATTAGACTCAGCGCAGTGCATCATGGGAAACCTATAGCATGTGTCTGATTTGTCTTTTCTCTCTCTATCAGAAGAGTCGAGGAGATTCCGAATTGCAGGAAATTATGAGGAAACAGCAAGAGAAAATTGAATCTGGCCCATGAATGCGCTTTCACGGACTGTCAATCAAACTGTCACCTGGCAACAGTGACTGTCAAGCAAACCCACCAATGAACTTAGACGACGTAGATTCTGCCACACCGTCGACCAAACGTCTAATTCAATATATTTTTTAATTTGTATATTTATTGTTGGTGCTTTTTATTATTAGTGTATGTACGGAGCTTATCGTAATTTATCCGCATGCATTATCTTGCTGGAAAACACTTGTAAGCTTATAAGACTCTTTATTGCATGAAAATAATGTATAGTTGAATCTCACAAAAACATGAACAGGTCACACCTCAAAAACAAAAGAAAAATGTAATTACTTTTTTGGGGTTTATTTTATTTTAGGTCCTGACTTTTTTTTTTCTTAGTAATTTTCATTCTCAGTTATTCAGAACTCAAAATCAAAAGAAAAATAAATTAGGAATAAACACCATTAGGACAATTATTATTTTTTATTTTTTTGCATGTTCTTGACATTTTAACTTGAATTTCTTAAGGTAATGCAGATTTTTTCTCTCATAATTTTCATTGTTATTCACACCTCAAAATTAAAAGAAAATGGTAATTTGGTCATTTAGCATTTTCATGACATTTTAACTTTAATTTCTCAAGTAATGCAGATATATATATATTTATTTTTTTTCTTAGTAATTTTCATTCTGTTATTCAGAACTCAAAGTTAAAAGAAAAATAAATTAGGAATAAACACCATTAGGACTATTATTATTTTTTTTTTTTTGCATGTTCTTGACATTTTAACTTGAATTTCTTAAGGTAATGCAGATTTTTTCTCTCATAATTTTCATTGTTATTAACACCTCAAAATTAAAAGAAAATGGTAATTTGGTCATTTAGCATTTTCATGACATTTTTACTCTAGTAATGCAGATATATATATATATATATTTTTTTTTTCTCTAGTAATTTTTATTCTGTTATTCAGACCTCAAAATAAAAATAAAAATGAAATTATATTTAAAAAAAAAACCCATTAGAACCATCTACTTTTTTGGGGTTATTTTGCATTTTCATGTCTTTGACATTTTTGTTTTGCATTTTCATGACATTTTCCTAGTCATTTTTATTCTCAACAATTCATAAAAAAATAAATCAATAAAAAATATAAATCAGCATTAATGAAAAGCAGTACAATACAGTTAAATATAAATATATATTCACATCACATTAATTCCCAAATGTGTTTTAAGTTGATGTGAATTGCAAAACAGTGCAAAATGTCGATGAAATTGGAAGCTTTCTGTTTTGTGGTTAAAAGTGACCCGTACATGTTCTTGGCGGGCTGAGATTCACCCGTGTCTAAAGGAGTGAGTGTTTTCTCGGGGTTCGATGTATGATTGCAGCCGTGATGTCTGTCACGCTACACATGTAAATAATGTGATATAATGTCATCAAGCATGCTCTGATGCTGATAGTTATGACGAACGAATGAAGCGAGAACAGTAAATCTATCAGATGCATTCATGCGTGTCTTTTCTTCCTCTTGTCAACACTGTGTACTGAGCAAGTGCTTGTAATTTGTATAAATGGCATTTAGAGAGAAGGATAAATCCCAACAGAGAGAAAAACTCAAATACACAGATGAGGTTTATTAATAAGTTTAATCAGATAACAATAGCAGGACCACAAGTACAACCTCTTAGTATTATCCTCTGCTAGCTTGTCCAAATGTTATTTATAAAAACAAATCACTGTATTGTAAAATTAAGAAATAAAGTGACTATTAAAAGACTGAGCCTCAAAAATTACCCCTCAAAATATTCAAAAGCATCTAGCAACTATGCAAATCTAAAATGCAGCGATTGTAATCCAGCAATCACAACTTTCACGGTCATTCATGCACATTCACGTACTTTCAAATACATCCTTTATAAGGAGCGAGACACACATCTTTGATCAGTCTTTTAAAAACACATTCAAAGTGCCACAATTATGCTTCAATATCAAAAATAAGTGCTAAACGTCATTTTAGTGAGCTGATTGACTGGCGGTTTAGTTGATGTCTAGTCTGAGAAATTCTCGCTCTGATTGGTGGATATTTCTTTGCTTCTCGAATGAGGTTTTATTTGTTGAGGTACGCATCCAGCCAGATTTCTCCGGATTTCTCCAAAGACCTGAGAGGAGAAGAATAGTACAGTGAAGCATCTGCCAGTAAATGCACACAAAATACAACACGTCCTCACTCCTAATGCTCGGTTAACACACAGGGCACTCCATTGCTTTCAATGAGAAATCTTTGGCATCGATACACATTTACAAACAAGTCTCGCCCTACACTTTTTCGTTATATATTGTTTTACTCAGAAAACGTCATATAACATGTTCAATTGGTTGTGAATGTCAACTTTTTAAAGGGGTGGTTGATTATCATTTCACTTTTCTAACTTTAGTTAGTGCGTAATGTTTGCTGTTTGAGCATAAACAACATCTGCAAAGTTACAACGCTCAAAGTTCAGAGCAAAGGGAGATATTTGCTTTTAAAGAAATCGTTTTTTAAGGACTACAACAAACGGCTGATAGGAACTACACGAGCTTCCTCCCGGGTTAGTGACTTCACTAACCCTAAAATGTACATAAGCCCCGCCCCCGGGAACACGCAGTCCATGCTGAGACGAGGAAGAGCTGTTGTAGTCGAGCACATTTGTGAGTCAGCTCAAACTGTAGAATCCGTCTTTTCATATGCAATAGAAAGTCCCTCTGTGTGCAACTCACAACAGTTCCTATACAAGCGATTTGTAGATTATCATGACAGAATATCCTAATTGAAGATAGTTAACTCCACATCAGCAACATAAATTCATCAACTAACCATTCAGAGATGTCCTGTTGCATTCAACATGTTGTCACTTCTTCATAGTCTCTCCATCTTTGTCTGACTCCGGTTTAAACATAAAAGGCAGCACAGTTTCTGACATTTTAGCTTGTGTCTGCGTGAGGTAATCGGAGCTGCTAACGCACACGAGCTCTTGAAGCTCCGCCCACTGTGTCGGGAGCTGCAGCACATTTGCATTTAAAGGGCCAGACACAAAACGGTGCGTTTTTGCTAACCCTCAAAAAGTGACAACTTTAACATGCTATATAAAAATATCTGTGGGGTATTTTGAGCTAAAACTTCACATACACACTCTGGGGACATCAGAGATTTATTCTACATCTTGTGAAAAGGGCATTATACCACCCCTTTAAAGGAATAGTTCCTGAATCAGTGCAAGAGCTTCTTTTGAAGGTGAAACCAAGAGATGTTCATGTGTGTGTGATACCTGACGACGTCCGCAAAGGCCCCGTGCAAGGTCTTCTCTTGGTACTTGACTCCGTATTTGGCACATAACTCTCGAACGTGTGGGGCGGCGCGCCAGTAGTTGTGCCGAGGCATTGTGGGGAAGAGGCTGGGACAAGAACAAACCGCAGTTATGAAATGCAGGATATACTGATAGATGAACATATTTGGCACAGAAAGTGAGTGTGCTTTGGTTTTCTTACTGGTGCTCGATCTGAAAGTTGAGGTGTCCGCTGAACCAGTCGTTGAAGGAGGATTGCTCAATGTTGCAGGTTGCGACCAGCTAAATGAGAGAAACGTGAGCGTTGACATGCTAGAATGACTAGTTTGTAAACCCAGTGAGGCTGTGATGGGTCAGGATGTGCAGTACCTGCATGCTGAGCCAGTCCTGGTGTTTCTCATAGTCGATGTTCATGGGGATGTGGCTCATCTGGGTCACCCACACAAACCAGTGACTCTCCAGGAACCTGCGGCACACATTCATACCCACATCATGTGACTTTTGACTTATGTCACAGGGGGTCTGCCAAACATTGTTTGGTCTCAAACTCATTTTTGGGAAAACATTGTTACAAAAATAAAATATTAATTTAATGTCACTCAAAGTATAAGCTAAAAGTCACATAAATGTCTCATTGCTTTAAAATGTATGAAGTACAATTCTTTGTGCATCAATAATCACTGATTTAATGGTTTGTAAACATCATAAAGTATGTAAATTCAATCTTTGATACCAGAAATATAATGTGGCAATTAGTGATGCACCGAAAATGTTGAAAAGCTGACCGAAATGTCATTTATTTAGCGCGTTTTTTGACGGTGTCATTGTCTATTTTTGGGCACACAACATGCATAATCTACAACAGGTGTGTGTATGCTAGAGCAGGATTAACAATAGTGTTTTTTTAAATCAATCTTTTATTTTGATGAAGATCTTTAAATCTAAGCTGTATTCAGTTGATGTGTGTTTTAGCGTTTCAACCGCGGAAAGACGTCCATTAAACAGCAAACTTGCAAACGATACGTAACATTATATTTACCTCAGAAAAGCCATTCAATGTCTATACTCGTTAAGAAGCATTTTGATAAATATATGCTCTATACAACATATTCAATTATGAAGACAAAATGTTAAGTAAAACTATAAAGAATTTGTTTGAATAAATCGGTCATGTAAATGAGTTATTACAACCACTGTGTAAAATGTTTATATTGCAACAATGAATTGGAGTAGACGCAAAAGGCTGTAAAAAAAAAAAAAAAAAAGCCTTGGGTGAAATTTAAATGTTTATATACATATTTTTATCTATTTCACTTTCTTTAATATTTCAATAGTAGTCATTCATCTAGCAGATCTCATTGAGTAAATCATAGAGAAAAATTTGGTATTATTTGTAACATTATATTTTGATTGTTTTTATGACATGAAATCTTTGTACTTTTTAGGGCTGTCAACTTTAGTCGTTTAGTCGACTAATCGGTCGATGCCGTCTTGGTCGACTGACATTCTTATTGGTCGACCAGTTGTATTTTTTTTTTTTTTTTTTTTTTTTTACCAATAGAAAGAAATTTTCAATGATTTACTCCTTGCTATTTATTCCTTTATAAGCAGTTATATATTACTGTATTCTAAATATAATTAGCCTATGGTTTATCCCCAACTTTAAATGCTTTAATTTAGGCTATTTTGTAACAGCGCCACAGTTTAGCGCACACACATAGAACACTCGGTTCGCCCCTGTGGCTGCGCTGCTGCTTCGTGCTCAGTAAGGGATATAGGTAGTTTAGCTGTATTCATTCAGTTAGAACGCTACTTGTTTCGGTTTTTATGTTTTTATACACTATATGTTTTTATCTCGATGCGGCGTGGACGCACTTGGAAAAAAAAGAGCACGATGCTCCGCGAGCGCGTTGCTTCCATCATGAGTGCGCACACCGCGCGCCTACATTTGAAATCGAACTTGAGCGCGCAAAAGACGTGAGCAGTCCCTTTAACGGCTTTATCATGCTGACTCAATAGATTATGTTTTCTTGATATGTTTTTGTTTTTATTTGTACACTTGATGCATTTGAAAATAGCCTAAATAATGTAACAAAACGAAAATAAACCTATATGCGGTCCTACAATACAGCCTATTATTATTAGGATTGTTTTTTAGGCTCTTTGGTTTTTTTTGTCTGTTTGTTTTAAAACTCCTAGATCGGCTGGACAAAAGTTAACCCATAGCTTTGAAAGACAAGTAAAGAAGAATATACAGCCTGTAAACGAGAGCTTTTGTTAGGATTTTTCATTGTGGCAGATAGCAGTTATATTTTGTGTAGCGTGTGGTGTGGTCAGGTGCGCGATTGTGACTGTTAGCCTACTATAGACCTAGGACAGAGCTCCTAACTTTGCAGTTAAAAAAAAATCACTTAATTTAAAAAATATTGTATTATTATTATAGTTTTATGTATTTTTGATGTTTTTTCGTTGTTGTTTTATAAATGCTATGACAATTGTTAAAAAATGTTCAATCAAAACATCGCGTCTTTTTTTTTTTTTTTTTTGTCGACTAATCGTTGCGCAGGACAGGACTTTGGTCGACTAAGGATTTCTTTGGTTGACTACAGCCCTAGTACTTTTAAAGGGTTAGTTCACCCAA